GCCCCAGGAGTGAGCAGGACCTCGGACAGCGATTCTCAACCTTCCTCATGCCATGACCCTTTCATACAGGTCCTCGCGTGGTGTGACCCCAACCATCAAATGATTTTCACCGCTATCTCATCACTGTCATTTTGCTACTGTTATGAATCGTCATGTAAATATGTGATAGGCAGGGTGTATTTTCATTGTTACAAATTGAACATAAAATTAAAGCACAGTGATCAATCACAAAAACAATATGTAGTTATAATTCCTGAAGTGTTGTTTTACCTGCAATACTGCTGCTTCAACACAGTAGCTGCTTTTAACAGAGTAGCTGCTCTACACAGAGCATAAGTGCATGATGGCGCCAACCCTGTCACACACACCTGTATCTGTATGGGGCGTATGTGATGGGGTTGGCGCGAGGATGTCATCACGGTGGGTACTCCTATGTGGGCGTGTCTGCATGTGGGCGGACCAGCCTGGAGACGGATAGAGTGGTGTCTCGGTTCCTAAGATCATCGGAATACGTGTTTTCGGATGGTCGCAGGCGACCCCTGTGAATAGGTCGTTCGACACCCCCCCCCAAAGGGACTGAGAATCGCTGACCTAGAAGGCAATAACTACCCTTCACTTGTCCATTTTAGTTTACAACGTGATTTCACACCCATTCTCTTGTAGCCTGCCCTCAACAACCCGAGACAAGACCCACCATAATAAAGTCGCTCTGTTAACCTCATTGGTCCAATGAGAAGGCTGTGGCCCAAGGTCAGACCACACAGTGAAGCAGGGATCCAAGCCCAATGGTACTGGCCTGGCACCACATGCCACTATGGGCACCTGGTGTTTGGCAAATCTAGCTTCCTGGGCACCACTGCAGGAAGTGGCCTTGCGCATGGACCTTGTTACAAGGTCTTGTTTACTCTGGCTCTGGACATAGCCCTTAGGTGCTGGCTGGGATGGCCCTCCCCGGTGGCCAGACGTCTTACTCCAGGCCCGCCAGGTCCCATGCTGGAGAATTGAAAACTTGCTCCAGGATGTCTAGAGAGTTTCGGAGCTAGCATTTCAAAGGGACGGAGTCTTTCAGAGCCCAGCCTGTTAGGAAGGAAGAGGACAAGCAGCTGGACTGCTGCCTAACCTTGTCCAGTTGGAGCGGGTTCAGGAACGGCAGGAAATACATTCCTTGAGGAAGAGAAATTGCACCGCTTGGACTGTGCTGTCAGGCCTGGGTTCAAACATCAGCCCTGCCACTTCCTGTTTGTGTGACTTGGATTGGCTTCACGATGCGCCAGGGAACGCCACCTCATAGCCAACTGCCAACTCGATCCAAAGCCCTCCTCGTGCCTTTCCTTCCTATCTCTGGGTCAGGACGCTTTCCATGAAAAGTGGCAGAAATTCAGCAGAGCAGCGTAAGTACAGGTGGGCTCAGGGTTCAACTGAGGCCATCTCCTCCTGCTCCCCACCTCTCCCTCTACTCTGCTCCCCTGTTGGCTCCAGGCCCAGGCAGGCAGGGCGCTGTTAAAATGATTTGGAGACAAGGGATGCCACCCGGGACAGGAAGGATATGGGTCTTGAGCCTTGACGTTCCACTGCGTGTGAGCTGTGTGATCTGTTGGGTTTCTTGGCCTCTCTGAGCCTGTTTCTTCACTTGTCTTGGTCTAAAATTAACTCCACCTCAGTGTTAATGTCAAGCTCAGGGTAATCCAGGTGAGAAACTGGCACAATAAATGTTAACAAGAAGCACTGGCAGGGAGGAGAGCTCAGTGGCATCTCAAGGCTCTGTTTTCTTCCTCAAGGGGGGGTGTTGCGACTCCGAGCAGGGGGCTTGGGTAAGGAAGTCACCTGACATCCCAGCAACCCTCCGCAACCGAGAAGCCGTGCCCGTGGGGCCTCCTCGGCGCAAACTGTCTCGGAGCAGGTGGTCAAGTCCTTTCTCCTCGCAGAGCCAGTGGTGGGCACGCACCACCGCCCTGTCAGTTAGCGGCCGAGAGCTGACCACTCGTGTCCCCAGACTCACTCCATGGACATGAGGCCACAGTGTGAGAATGACCGTCAGGCGTCAAGCAGCCAAGGCTGAGCCCAGATTCAACCGCTGAGCAACTTTGGGTCTCATTTGAATCACACCCTCTAAGTAGGACGCTGACTGAGATAAAGGCCAACAGGCTGAGGGTCCCCGCCCCTTATATTTGCATAGGCCTTGGGGGCTTCCAAGGGGCTTTCTGACCCGTGATCTTGGAAACTTCCAGAAACAGTAAAGTAGAAGTCCGAGAGGTTTTTTTATTTCTTGGTATCACATCTTCAACGTGCACAAGAAAGCGCAGTGTTCATCTCGAATGTTCTCACCATGAGCACGTGGGTAACTAGCACCCCAAGGACTAGATCAGCACCCTGCACGCCCTCCTCATGTTCCCACCCAGTCACTACTCGCCACCCTCAAGGGTAAGCACTACCCTGACTTCTAACACGTGTTGGGGGTTTCAAACTTGATGGAAACGGATTTGCACGGCGTGTACTCTTTCCATGTTTGTGAGATTCAGCCCTCCTGTTGTCTGTAGCTGTAATGAGCTCATCCTCACTGTCAATAGTAACCATTGATATGAAGCCTGTGCTGGGTGTCCAGTCCACGTTATTGGGTATCTGATGGTCACCAGTTTGGCACAATAATGAATAATAATGCCGCCATGAATATTTTCAGTATGTGTCTTTTGGTGAAAATACATCCATATTGGTGGGGGGCGGGGCACATCTAAGGGTAGAATTGCAGGGTTTCAGAGTTCTGGTTGTCCCCCAGCCTCAACTAGGAGCCTTCTTTGCCATTTTCATTTTAGCTATCCTGGTGGGTGTCAAGTGGAAGCCTAGGGTAGTTTGAGTTTGAATTTTCCTGTTGACCAAGGAAGTTGAGCACTATGTCATGACGGCCTATTTTGAAAAGCATAAATCTGATCGTGTCATTTGCCTGCTTCAAACTCTCTGGCAGCTCTCTATCTCCCGGGGACAGCACTCCAACCCTTTTCTGTGGCCCGAGGCCCAGCACACTCTTCCAGCCTGACTGCTGCCAACTCTCACCTTTGTCCTTCCCAGGAACACTCTTGTTCCTGCCTCAGGGCCTTTGTTCCTGCCA